CTTGATATCATGACAAGAATATCGCGAAGGATCAACGGTACAATGATCTAATGATACGCCTCGTAAATAAGATCCTCGCAATCGCTGGATAATCTAGTTTCGAATGAACACGCGCGGGGTCGTCGAATATCAGTCAACGGAATTTTATTTCAATGAAGTGCCCGATGCGGTAAAATTGAAAAGGGCGGGGAGCGTAATTTCCGTGGCAAACTAGACGAGAACGGCGCGCTTCGAGCGGTCGTACTGTAAACCTCTGGTATTTTTCATGGAAATTGCCGAGCAATTTCCGCGCTGTCCTGCCAGGGGAAGAATAGCCGGGAAGAAAGAAGGCGAGAGAGAAAGGGGAGGGCGAAAAGTCGGAGATGTAAAAAGGGCTCGTGTCTCCGTCGAGTGGTTCTCAATGCTATGACGAACGAGTCTATTAGCGGCAATTCGAGTTAAACTATGTTTGGCTTGCGGCAATGGCGCGCCCACCGCGAACCGACGCCACACCAGGGGTTACGACGACACCTCGCCGCCAACGACTTCAGACCTTCATCGACGTTGCCCACCGAGACTAACCAGCCTTCCAAATCACCCCCTTTGCGTCGTTCCGTCCTCGCAGAAACGCCACAGACCTGCGGCTTCAGACTAACCGCCCGATAAGCACTTCACCTTTCCAACAACAAAGGCGCAAGGAAAATAATTAAGACGCGCGATGTTCGCGAACCACCTATTTCCGTCTTCTCCCTGCAACCCGCCTCGATAATATCCAAGCTCTTTTTAACCTTTCGTTCGACTCTCGTTTCATAACTCTCTTCTCGAAGATTTCCAACACCGACTCGTTCGCTCTCTTGCAGCCGAAATCTCCACGTGCATCCTTAGAATTTATTCCCACGCGTGTTTCACTCGTAACCGATACTCGGAGCTCCTCACGTTCGAAACTCGACGACCAACACTTCTCATTTACGCTAGCAATCAATGTCCAAGCGCGCCTAAGGGGCATTTTAAAAATTTCCGTCTCAATTTTACGCGTATCTCTCGTTCCTTTATCCTATACACGCGCCAGTTGCGGCAAGTGGAAAGCACTTTATGCGGTCGACTGTACTTTTTACCAAGCGACGACTGTTTGAGATTTACATAAAATCCCCTAGTAGAGTCGTACTCTCTCTCTCTCTCTCTCTCTCTCTCTCTCTCTCTCTCTCTCTCTCTCTTGCAGGCGTATCAAATAGAGAAGGAAGATGGCTGATAAGGGCAAGTTTCACGAGCAACGACGCTACTTTCTCGTATCTTCCCACGCCGATAAACGAGTTAAAAAGAGAGACTCGACGACCCCTGCTGTTTCTCTTTCTCTCCCTTATGCACCGTATATCTATTTGTCTATGGTTTAAGGAGCGAATGTTGCGTACAAACTTCTGTCGGGCGCGTTCAAAAGTTTCTCGCAGAATTCGCGTCTCTCGCCGTGATATGACGCGAAAGCAAATTGCACAAGTAACGCAAACTTCTGTTACGGTTGCGTGTAATCAATTATAAAGGAAAAATATTCAGGAGGAAACTGTATGCGGGTTAAACAAGTTCCTCGGTTGCGGTTAATCGATTCCCCCTCGAATCTCGTTTGTACGCGATTATCCTATACAAAGTCCGGTTCGATATAATCGCTCGATCATCGTGAAAGGAGTTTTGTCTCCGTAAGTATTTCCTCCGTTGAAACGGTTTGATTATAATCTATATTTTCGTGAGGAATACGATCGATCGTTTCGTTTTTCCATTCAACGAACGAACGGAACAGCGAGAAACGCAATATTGCGGAATGCATCGAGCCGCGTATAATTCGAAGATATTTCAGAGAGTTTCTTCAGCGTCGTCCGCGACAATGACCGGTCCAAACTAGTTCCGGGACTTCGCGGTGCCCGAAATTCTCTTAGAGCGTCGTTGCTGCTCCTATTGAAACCATACCAGCCATCCAAAGGATCCTGTCGATCGTAAGCGGCCAAATACAGACTGCCCCCATTGTTCCAACCTCGGTTTCACGGAGTTCCCGAGTAGATTGACCTTTCGGATCGAGTCAAGTAGACTTTCGAATTTTTGCTCATCACCGAGCAGGAATTATTCCCCCATGCACAGACTTCGTCCAACTTTGAATTCGCATAATTCTCGAGAGTTCGTATTATGCCTGAAAGTTTCAAGATCTTTCTCTCTGTAATGTGTACCCTGAACGGAAAGCATTTCTAAAGAACGTAATCCTTCGCTAAACTTCTTTGAAAGGTATCCTGCGTGTATACGTATCGCGACGAACCCACATTCAGGTTTCTATCGAGGCAGAGGTTGATTTCCTTCGATACATCGAGACTATGATGCGCGCCCAGTATCGTTGGATCCAAAGAAAATTGGGGGCCAACGTGATCCTATAATTTAACACGCACGACCTTTCCAGATGTTGGTTTTAAATGTCAAACTCGGGGTTGTAACCTGTATACTTTTATTCCTTTCGTGTAACGACACCCCTGACGCTTCTTGGCAGTTTAAGGTTCTCGTATCCATTCGCGTCGCGTTTCTCCCGTTCGAAATATACAATTCCGCGAGCCCACCTGCGTAAACACGTCGCTCGTTTAATTCGTTTTAAATAAAGCACTAATTTATCACGGAGCTCGCACGGCGATGGTCAATGGCCGAGAACCGGGTAAAAAAGCGTGCAACGCGGCCGTACGTTAGTACAGTGATAATTTTGCAACTTGTAATGCTCTTTGGGCTTGAAACTGTGAAATTATGGTGGTCGTGCTAACTTCGCGTTACGTCAAAAGTTCCAGCGACCGTTTAACATACATACGTCTGAGGGTATTTATGACCCACGAAATATTTCCGCGTTGTAATTGCCTCTTGAGGCCGAATTCATGGCATTCACGTTCCGTTTTCTCTCCCTTTTGCCTGTCTGTCACACGCTCTACGTATGCAACGCATTCAACGCGTTCAATCTAATCCCACGTATTCGCAGACGTTTATCCGATGAATACAAAGAGAGTGTCTGCTGCTTGTACGAATTATGCAATAGCACGGAAAGTAATGAGAAATTTGCCCTGATCGAATACCCTTGGCATAAAGCTGTAGCTGTATTTTCCACTCGACGGTGGAAAAATCAATCGTTTCGACACATTCTTCCCACGTGGTACTTTGTTAACGACATCGAGGAAAGCGAGGAGGGCGAACAGGCGGCAGAAATTAATATCGAAAATCGCGCCCGGAATCTGGAAAAGTTCCGCGGATCGAAGACCTTCGTTAAATACAATCTGCGATGAAGCGTGCAGCTGCGGCGGAGTCCTTATAACCGCTAACATCGCTGTTGCTGAAAATCGTGAGCTTCCTAGTCCTGAAAAGCACGGTAGCGGGTCTCTTCCCTCGCGGGGGCTTATCTTCGGAGCTTTTAATTTCGAGCGACCGAGCTCTTTATATCCGCGAGAGGTATAATTATCCGCAAGAAGGCAGAGGGGTAGCATTGAATATTTTAGCTCCCGGTCTGCTCTCTCTTCCTTCCTCTCCATCTCCTTTCCCGTCGTTCCTGGCCGCCTGCGCGTTCGCGGCGTTTTCGTTCTCATTTTCTGCGGCGGTTTAAGCGAAACAAAAATAAAAACGAGTCGGTACGTTCTGAACGAGGAACGAGGAGAAAGTAAAGTACAAGGAAGCGTAAGTAAAAGACGATTCGGGTTCGAGCTCCGAACCAGCCAGAGATTAGGGCGCAAACTTACGTCTGCTATTTTGCGGACAGATTTACATAAGTTCCCTCGTTTCCTTCCGCCACTTTATCCCACAGTTTCCTTTTTAATCGTTCCTCCATCCCGCGTCCTCTTTACCGTTTGTTCATTTTTCATACGTACGCCCGCGTACAGTTGCTAATTATCCGTCATTTGATAATTCCCCTATTCGTACCAACTTCTCCGCGCGGAATTTTAGTCTCCTCTGTTTGCCATGATAATTTTAGGTCCGCTTCTTTCGTCCCTGTTGGACGATCGAGGTCCCCACAAAGCGACTAAGCGATCCTCCGCGTCGTTGTTAGCCAGAAAAGAATGCGTTCGACGCTCAGAAACTAGCAGCGTACGTCATAATTAATAGTATTTTAACTCGAGATAAAAATTATATAAACGGGACAACATTTAGACAACATAAGATTTTATTCGGTTTATCGATCGTTAAAGAGATTTACGAAGAAACTTCTCAAGATGAGGTAGACGATTTCAAGGCGCGCGTGTAACGACCGAATGGATTTTTTCTAAAGATCGTTTCTTTTCTACCCTCGTAGCGGAAAGTATGGATCCACTATGTACCGTGTAGAACAGAAAAGATGATTAGCAGGATGGCACAGAGGCAAAAGGGGTAATCCGCACGCTTCTCCCGATCCCTATCTCTGACGCTCTTTTAGCCACCACCATCGTTCGGCTCTTAGTGGCTCTAACATAGAACTAGGTCTGGGTTTAATAAATGTAATCGCTTCGATCGGTAATAAACGTCTTATAAAGGTGTGACTAATTTAATATAACCAATCGTACTTGCATTCAAGGATCGAAAATGTTCCGAAAATAACTGTTTCGACTTGCTATATGTACAAAGGTTCTGTCTGGAACGGTTCTGTCTCGGGTTTAAATGTATTAATTATGCAACGATTCTATTATTCGTTTCTACTTATTGCACTTATTGTTTTTCGGAGCATGCGGAATGCAAGAATAATACATAATTAACTCGAGAACAGTTTAGAATCGTTTTAGAGCCGACATAGATCCGTTCCAGGCCCGAAATAATAACAGTTCTGTACAATTGTAACCAGAACCTTTTTTTGTCTTCGTATATCCGCTTTTTATTTCTCAACCGAGACCGACATCCTGCGCATTAGTTTCGTTCTAACGACTTGGACGATGCACGACAGAAATAAGTTTTAGAAGCGAAAGGGCAGAGAAAGAAACAGAGGAATATTTTACCCATGTGTATTTTCGCGTGTTTAACATATGAAAGATCAACGTGTTTCGCGATTGCAGGATGTCCAGAGGGCAAGGAGGCTGGTCCGACGAACCGTGCACATCAACCGGTGGTCGAAGCGTCGTACGACAATCGGCGGGACCATCGTCGAGGACAACGCCTCCCATCCTCGAGGATCGGACATCCGGGGGCGCGTCCTGCAAAGGTGGATTCAGATTAGGCGTCTACGGCTGGAGGAAAAAGTGTTTATACTCCCTAGTGCTGACCCTCATGGTCATAGTAATCCTGAACCTGGCTCTCACGGTGTGGCTGCTCAAAGTCATGGGATTCAGTTCCGTAAGTCCATAAACTACCGTCGTGCTTGGCGTCAATCGACCTCGATTGACACCCATTATTAGAAATAGACCTTCTAAAATCGCCGCGTTGCATGTAAATTCGTGGAGCAAGCCCCACGGTTCAGAAATGAAAATTTGTTGAAAAATTAATAACCACAGGGTCCTTCAGCCAGCGAAGCAACGAAGCGGCCCTTTTCCGGTCCGAAATTATTTCCGGGATTCGCAAGCCACAGTTCTTTGTAAAGTACAGTCACGGTCATTTTCCCTTGGTCTCGCCGTTCCCTTTCTCTGCCATCGTTGGGGCTAGCTTTTCAAGTGCATCGCTGCGCCGCGTCCATTCCTGTTATTTCCTGCGTACGGCTGGCAACGCCACCGGGCTGTTGCCATGATCTCTGACTTTGATATCCGTAAGCAGAAACGGAGTCTCGAGATATAATACAACGCGACGGAGCACGCTTTGAATATGCAAACCACCGGCCGACCGTCCTAATCGAAAATCAGAGCTTTTGTTCGGTGACGCAACTCGATCCTCGCCGTTTCTCGTACGGAATCCCGAGCGTTGCGTACGCTGTTGACTTTGGAGAGTCGTCCCGAAATTACGAAATCCGACGTCGATCCCACGCTTTGAAGCAATATTACGAGGACACGCAACAAGTGGATACGCATCTTTCGAATTCGTTCGCCCTCTTCGCGAAATCGCAATCGATAATTAATTCCTCGATCTCTTTCGAGCCAATGCGGAGCACTTGCAAGAGTTTGCCTCGTTAACAGATGTAACCCGTATACACGTATGAAACTCGTAAATTGCACTTGAATCTTCTAACCGATCTTTCCTTGCGTACTGACTCCCCTAACGAGGCACGTTCCCGTCTGATAAGTTACCGGCTGAACCACTAGCACCAGACACTCTGATCTTCCCCTCCGTAACTTTGTCCTTATTGGCTCGTACAGGCCGACTTGGTATAAACCGAGGTCTCGATCGTCTATTGCTTCCGTGGCGCGGTGCTAGCACGACCGTTAATCGAATTTATTGCCAGATATTCCGTCGATATTACTCGAAACCCGACGCCTAAAACTTGGCAGTTCACGCGTAACTACTCTCATTAAAATCAACGCTTATCTCGCGGTTAGGAATTAGTTTTGCGCGTGTTACCCGGTTGGAACAACAGGCCTCGGCCGGGACGTCGAGGATACGATTCGGCACGGTGCGAGCGAGAGAGGAAGAGGAAACGAGGGGGACAGGCGATAGCACGAGAGGCGGCTAGGTGGTTAATATAATTGGCCGTAATTACCGGAACCGTTACATCAGGCCGCGGTGTTTCTCCCGCGGAAAATCGTCGTTTGCACTTCGTCCGTCTTCTCGCGGAGAGCCGTTTAATTATAACGGAGATTCTTCAGGTGCGAGGAAGGGTCGCGGAGGGGTTGGGAGGGATTCGTTGCAGCGGGAAGTTTGATAACAAGCGTCGAAACGAGCGAGCGAGCGATCGAGGGGTCGTTAGAAAAAGCCGGCCACCGGCGCTCGTTGTTTCATTATCGTTATTGCCAAAATCCAGTCGCGGGTAACGCGATATTTAACGGCGTTGAGTAATATCGCCGAGAGGCTGGCGTAACCTTTTGGCCCGGCGCGGCGCGGCGCGCGGATTTATCGCGACCGCGTGCGAATGTCCCGAGCGTAATTCGATGCTGAGCGTAATTAACACTGGCGAGCGTTTATACGCGCGGCGAACAATTTTCACGCTCGATACACGATCGTTTGGAGGGGGAGGCTCGTTGAAGCTATTTTGGCGCGTCGCGTCGGTCAAACGCGACGCAGACTTCCGGTTCGTGCGAATCCCCGATACCAGCTCCGCTCCTCGGCGCGCTTCCGCCTTAACCCTGTCGATTAAGGTAAAGACGATAGAGAAATCCCTGTGTATCCCTCTTCGCCTATATCCGCCATTATCGAATTTATTTGAAATCGAAAGGAGCCTCCGCGATCAGGCGCAACGATCCCTCGATAGGGGCTAAACTCGCTGGAAATTGAGTATCAATCCGTAAGTAAAGAGTCTGCGAGCAGCAGGGATACCCCGTGGGAAATGTAAGCCCCCGCCCTCCTCCCCCCAGCGCCCTCCTTTTTCCCGGCATCCAACCCCGCTCGCTATCTCCGCTCGTGCCGATTTCTTCCTCTTCGTCTACCTTTTCTGATTCCCGTTCTTCTCTCCGTCGAACGCGTTAACGCCCTGCCCGCTAACCCTATTCGTCCAAACGATTCTTTTACACGGGACGCGAATAACGTCTGTCGCTTTTCCGCCCGCGGATCGTAAATAAACCGGCCGATTCTCGACGGAGGAACAACCGTAAATAGTTTGGAAAATAAAAATAATAGAAAGTTGCCGGACAGTTGCCCCAAGTATTTCGTCTATCGAGATCCGGGTCATCGACTCCTTTTGCCTAAGCCTAATATTCCGAGCCAACTACGCGGCAACAATTTATGGCTCGTTATTTCCAAACTCCTGTCCAGCTACGAGATCTCTTGTACAATCAGCGAGTGGACCGACCAAAACTTTCCTCGTTAATTATCACTCATCGACATGTTCGGTGAGTTTATAATCACTATCGCTACTTCCATCGCTGTTCAACGGAACGAAACATTCTCGAGGGTTAGCGAGTCGCGCGCCAGATAAAATGATAAACGACGACGTCGAACTGTTTAAGTCGCGGGTTCGTAAAAATCGCGTCGTTAGAAACGACAGTGGGAATCAAGGAGTCGAACGCCTGGACGCGGATCTGGAATTTCTCGAGACGCGCGCGGGTTGATATCCATTCAGAAGTTCGTCTGTTCGTCTTATCCCAGAAAAACCGCGATGCACTCGCGAGCCAGGAAATATTTTATGCCCTCCGCGCTCCCCCGCCCGACATTCTGCACCTTTATCCACCATTCTTTTCCACCTATTCATATTTGATGAGAGAGTCTCGACCTCCTCCCTTCGCGGATCCCTCTTTACCACCGTATCGCGAATCCTCCTGGCTTTCCTCGATCCCTTCGCGAGCAGGATCTTTGAGAAATTAAATCGTCTCTTTCGGGGAAGATCTTAGCGCGCTCGTAATCGTCGCTGGACTCGCGATATCGTTATCCCGGTCGAATTAACTGGAGAACAATCGCTTGATTTCTTACCAGCAAGCGAACGCAACATTTTTTTCATTCTCCCACGCATTAGGGTAATCTAATAATTCGATGGTTGAAGTTTATCGACCCCTCGTTTCCGTATACACCGCCGTGGCCTCCTATTCGGTCATAAAATTTCGTTCTCTTACATCGCGGATCTCCGCGTCGCTCGAAACAGAATTTACTGCGCGAACTCCGTCGTAAAGTTCGCCGGGTAGAACGAAATTCATAACTAGCAGCATTTCCAATATCTCGCTCGGATCGAAAGGTCTTACGAGATCTTCGATTACGAACAATATATAATGCAACCTGAAACGTTATGTCGGACGGCACGGTGTACAGAGGCTATATTGGCACTAACGGCACACCGTATACACCCATACGAAACAGATGCCCCGCCTACCTAATATCGCTCACAGAACCGACCCCTATAACCCTCCTATCCATAGCGAATTCACCTGTATACATTCCTTCGTATATTACTCGGCGGATAGTACCAGCGCGGTTACATTCGTACAGTGTGTCGAGACGAGGCTTCCTTCGCCTCCGAATATGTCTCTATCACCGATTTAGCGTCTCGTTTCGCTTTCCCACGATGCGACCAATGATTTTTTCTTACGTCAAAATACTTTTAATTTCACCTTTGATCGAACTCAACGGCAGAGGGACCTCTTCAGTTTTTCTACGTACTTCCATCGACCCAGATCCAAAAAAATCGACAGGGGGTAGGTGCCTAATTTTTTCGGCGAAAAAAAATATTTTAAATCGTTCTGAAAAAATTATTGTTAGGTCCTGGGGTCAATTGCAATCATTTTTGGTGAATAGACATACCCCCGAAATCCTACGCATTTTCGAGAAAAAAATTTGAGATGGTGGACAAGTTTTTCGACAAAATTAAAAAGTTTCAAATCACTCTGAAAAAATTATTTTCAGTTAGGGGGGTCAATTACAATCATTTGTGGTGAATAGACATACCCTCGAAATCCTACGCATTTTCGAGAAAAAAATTCGAGATGGTGCACAAATTCTTCGACAAAATGAAAAATTTCAAATCACACTGAAAAAATTATTTTCAATTATGGGGGTCAATTACAATCATTTTTGGTGAATAGACATACCCCCGAAATCCTACGCATTTTCGAGAAAAAAATTCGAGATGGTGGACAAATTTTTCGACAAAATTAAAAATTTCAAATCACTCTGAAAAAATTATTTTCGGTTATGGGGGTCAATTACAATCATGTTTGGTGAATAGACATACCCTCGAAATCCTACGCATTTTCGAGAAAAAAAATCGAGATGGTGGACAACTTTCTTAACTTTTCCACAAAATTAAAAAATTTTTAATCACTCTGAAAAAATTATTTTCGGTTATGCGGGTCAATTACAATCATTTTTGGTGAATAGACATACCCCCGAAATCCTACGCATTTTCGAGAAAAAAATTCTTTACTGAAAATATGATGGAAGGCCAAAAATGCTTCCCCGACATTTCACGCGTATGTTTAAAAAATCATAATTTCTGGGCAGATTGGATAATTTTAATGTAATGGGGCTCTAGAGTCTCGAAAAAATGGGTCGAAAAAATACATTGGCTCGTAAGGTTCGCTCGTATACCTCGTCTGTGGTTGTACGTCGTCGAAGTAACAATGAATTACCAACGAACGGAAACTAATTCGTCCAAGGTACGGGCTTACGGTCAACGGACCAGGCGATCGATATTGATTCATCGGAAAAGTTGCTGCCCCGGCCAATAAATGCGTGAGAAATGGCTGGTCACCCTGTATACATTACGTACAAGCGGTGTGTTGGTACTAAAGGATATCTATTGTAGTGGTCGGTTAGCAAGTGCAAGT